TATATTATATTATATATTATGTATATATATCTGATTGCGGTAATGCTATTCAGACAAAAGTAAATGTCACTGACATATTTCCGGTCCAAACAAAACTTGTGCATGTAAGTAAGGATGTGTTTGGTGTGTGCTTAGGAAGCAGTTTGCAGCCGTACCGTCGCCTACACCGCTGATTCCTGCATGGCAGTTACCACAACAGGACAACATCGTTGCCGAATCTGTGGACAATTGTGTTCCCACTAATCAAGTATGTGCTGTTTGTATTGAAGCTTAGTGTAGACCATCAGCAGAAACTTTTTGGCTGTATTTTTGATCAGACCATGTATAATTCTATATTTCAGTTTACAGACATATATAGTGTGTGGTACAACTGATACACGCTGATAGACACAATGCTGTAACATAGGGTGTTCGTACATTTCTTTAGGTTATTCAGATTTGGTTACAGCTTTTTGATTCACAATATTTATTTACAATCTTCATTCACAATCTTCGTTTGCAATTACGATCTTTGTTCACCCTTGAAAACAGATTGAGATTGAATAGACCTCAGTGTGTCTCCTCGGCTATATTAAGTCGTCGTTGTCAGCTATAATAAATATACTATAGTGTAACAACATGTCTGGAGATGTGTCTAGACATGACACGTTTCTGTGTATGCACCCTCTCACGTCGAATCACGGAGGCCAAAAGAAGCCAGTGACCAACTCGTTGTGAGCAGGCTGCTCTTTTGTTGTCACTCTACCGGACAACAACATTATCAAAAAACAAACAAACGTTTGGCCGTTACACAGACATATATGTTGTTCATGTTTTTATCTATAGTCTCTCCGTTTGGCTTAAATGATCTGTAATCATATCTAATTTCTAGTATTACTGTGAGCTATATACATCCAAGTATTTAGCATGGGGAAAGTTTGCGTAGCTTTGTGTGACACTGTGCATTACTTAGCATGTATGTTTTCATCTTACAGGGACAAAGTTTCAGTGAGAATAACAGTACGACAACTAGCCAGGTGAATGGAGAGGAGCATTCTACAGAGACCAGCTCCAGCTCAATTGCCAATGTAGAATCCAATGTCGGTGTTAAGGTCGATCCCAACGCTAATGTAGGGGTAAACGTTGTAGAAGGCGCTGTGTAGGGTTGATGGAAATCTACATCTAGCTGCACAGTTTGGTGGCATACTACGCATCCATCGTCTACAGCAGCTGAGCAGCAGATGGCATAACTACAAGTCTAGTTATCACTGTGATAGTTTGCATGTAACTTTTGTTGTAGCACATTGGCTTTTGTACATGTGACTGGCGTACGTAGTGTGGGCACTTTGAAATGTGCTGGACTGGGACATAGTTTTCTTAGTAATGTGCTTTAATTGTGAATGATTTCGTATTCATATTGTATTATATCATTCATCTGATTGGAAAGTCAAGTAATTTGGCTCTTTTGTAATAAATAATTGTTTCATTGTTACTTATGTAATTGACCTGTCTAACTGGCCGCTTGCTCCACAGATGGCTTTAGCCACTTAGCATTGTGACAGGACATTCTAAATCCGATTAGTAACGAAGCGGCGCAAAGTTGACAAATGTGGATTTATACGTACAAATCTGGTGAGCATGATTAACCTAGAAACAATATCCAAGGCAGCGTGGTTTTCTCGGTAAGGTAAATAGATCCTGAAACATGGCATGAAAACGTGAAACAAAAAAAACTTTCCATGAGAACTATAATGTGCTTAATAACTGTACATGCTCCTATATCCGTAATTAAATTATGCTACAATCCATTTATGGCAAGTTCCACGCATATCCTGAATACATCTAACGTTAATGATTACCGCTCCTGATCGTAACGGCCGCTAGAGGGCCTACTCACCAGAGCGTTAACCCCTTACTATATGAAAGTGGGTGGCTGCTGACTGAGCCAGACCGGCCAATGAGTGAGCAGGTCGGAGCGACTGTGATTAGGTCGTCCAATCAGCGAGCAGGCTTTTGCCTGATGTCATTTCTCAAGTTATTCAAGTTGAATTTATAACTGCAATTAGTGCACGCTTCTGCCAAAGCCATTAACTAGATTGTTTCCATTCATCAGGTATATTCGCCTAGAAAGTTTTGCCTTAGAAGTTTTGCCGTATTTACTTTGTACGCTCGATTGCTCGCCGCTAATCAGATTCCCCGCCATAACAACCGGTCGATCGATAACGAGGCTTGCAAACCGCTGGCGAGGCGCTCGCTTACAGGCGTTAGTGTAACCGTGCGGAACATTACGACTGTATTATACAGGTTAGAATACATCCTACACGTTCATGGTCACATCATTGGGCCAACACTGTTACTGATTGCAGATAATAATTGGGCTAGTTTCCAATGTTTATGTGAAAATATTACCGTAGGTGACGGTATAGACACCTTACAATATTGCAAACAAATAAAAGTGAGAGTCCATAGAAAGATATGAATCTGTATTATTATTTGTCATTTAAAATAGGAAACGTTTATTTTTATTGATTTTAGTTAGTAAAATGGCCAAGAGGTGTCGCATGCGAGTAGCACCTGGAAAAATGGAAGTCGTTTCAACACCGGCTATTTCTTTGAATACAAAGTCTACCATTAACGATATATTTTCTAGAGGTATTGTAATACTACACGTGCGCGATGTGTAATAGTTTAGTTTAACATATTTACAGAAATGTCAAGTTTGAGAAATTTTTGAGAGTGAGACTCAGCGTTGAGCGGAGCGACACCCACAGGCACTTGAAGCATATCAACTGTAAACATACGGCGCCGCCATTGCGCGTACACTAACACATATATATTGAGCAGGTGCGAAAGCGTGCGCCAGGAATTTGCTCGACGCTCGCTTGATTACACACGATTACAACAGAAATACTCAACCTTTC